CTTTAAAATCACAATACAAACAAAACAAAACATAAATAACTCAGCCCTCCAAGACCTTTAATGTGGCCCTCGGCTGATTTTCTCCTAAAATATATTAATTATATTTTCTATTAAAATATTGGTAATTTTCTGCGGTGCTTAGCATAGCAGCGTCGCCAGTGTCTCTGTACGTGGCCCCTCCCACCAGAGCAGCACAAATGAAGACTTGTCTCTTTCCAAACGCTCTTAAAGGACGATCGTTTTGACTGTTGACTTTGACACCCTCATCAGAAAAATTACAAAAATTAGAAAAGTGGAGCCGAGTGCAAGATTTTACAACAAAAATTGACTTATTCCTATTTACATACAAGTTCATGTTAAAACATTGTGTTGAAATTACATTTTTCTTAAAGTTTCAGGTTGTTCATAATATTATATATATATGTATATATATATATATATATATATATATATATATATATATATATATATATATATATATATATATAACTAGAAAAGCACTCAGAGAGCGCAGACCTCCGCCAAGGACTACCCCCATTTTTTATATAAATTGTGATAAAATCAGTCTTCTGGATCAGATCCGGATCAGCCGTTGGAATATGAAAGAGGATCCCATTGTCCATCCCTGAGTCAGATTTCATGGGGTTTGGTCAATAATTAACCGAGATATTGAGAAACAAAATTTTAGGCCCCATTTACCACAATGTTAACTAAAATTTCAAAGTGATCCAGAATCCAGGATTTCTTCCGGATCACCCCCAAAATGAAATCAGTTCTTCCTTTTCACATTTTCAACAAATCCTGAAAATTTCATCAAATTCGGTCCATAACTTTTTGAGTTATGTTGCTAACAGACAAACAAACAAACAAACAAACAGACAAACGCCGGCAAAAACATAACCTCCTTGGCGGAGGTAATAAGAAAGAGTTCATCAATTAAAAAAGATTTTTGTAATAGATTTGTGTTTCTCTGCACAAATATTTGAACTTATTGTTATATTTGGGGTTTATATGTCATGAGTTTTCTGATCCGGTCCCTTTGGGATCAAAGTAGGTTGGATACGGCCCCTGGACCAAAATGAGTTTGACACCCCTGGCATAAATGATAATCTACTGCAGCGTCCCAGCTCGTTTGGAGAGGCCAGTGAGAAGCCACAACCGGAGTCTAATCTACTGGAGACAAATGCAATTTTTGCTCTGTTTTTTAGATGGTAAAAGGCTGCAGATGTTATTGATTTGATGTGGCTGTTAAAGTTCAAGTCTGAGTCCATTATTCCCTCTATTACCCCCTTGCCCCTTGATTTGAAGGTTTTAGAGAGAGAGACTGGAGGTGACTGCTGACACTGTGTCTTTGTTTCTGTGGACCAAACACTTCACACACTCCACACTTCAGTCTCGTCTGAGTTTGGCTGGAGAAAGTTGTTTTGCATCCACACACTGATCTGTTGGATGCAGTGACAAAGTGAGTCCACTGGTCCATATCTGCTGCAGTGAGACGTAGATCAGAGTGTCGTCTGTGGACTTGTGGTAGGACACATTATTGCTGCGTATTAACTGGCCTGTAGGGGGCAGCATGTGTAGATCTTTTAGTTGTTCAGTCGATTAATCGGTTGATGGTGTCTTGGTGAGTTAGCTGACACGTTGAGAGACACTGGACCTGTTTTACTTATAAATATGCAGTTTACTGCTCTGTATACTTGTACTGCTCTGTATACTTGTACTGCTCTGTATACTTGTACTGCTCTGTATACTTGTACTGCTCTGTATACTTGTACTGCTCTGTATACTTGTATGTCCCTTTATACGTGTACAGTATTTCTTTGTATACTTGTACGTTTATTGTACTTCTCTTTATACTTGTACTTCTCTGTATGCTTGTATGTCTCTGTATACTTGTACTTCTCTGTATACATGTACTTTTCTGTATATTTGTACTTTTCTGTATATTTGTACTTCTCTTTATACTTGTACTTCTCTGTACATTTGTACGTCTCTGTATACTTGTACTTCTCTGTATACTTGTACTTCTCTGTATACTTGTACTTTCCTGTATACTTGTACTTTTCTGTATACTTGTACTTCTCTGTATACTTGTACTTCTCTTTATAATTGTACTTCTCTGTATACTTGTGTGTCTCTATATACTTGTACGTCTCTGTATACTTGTACTTCTCTGTATACTTGTACTTTTCTCTATACTTGTATTTCTCTGTACATTTGTACGTCTCTGTATATTTGTATGTCTCTGTATACTTGTACTTCTCTGTATACTTGTATGTCTCTGTATACTTGTACTTCTCTGTATACTTGTACTTCTCTGTATACTTGTACTTCTCTGTATACTTGTGTGTCTCTGTATACTTGTACTTCTCTGTATACTTGTACTTCTCTGTATACTTGTACTTCTCTGTATACTTGTACTTCTCTGTATACTTGTATGTCTCTGTGTACTTGTATGTCTTTGTATACTTGTACGTCTCTGTATACTTGTACTTCTCTGTATACTTGTACGTCTCTGTATACTTGTATGTCTCTGTATACTTGTGTGTCTCTATATACTTGTACATCTCTGTATATTTGTATTTCTCTGTACATTTGTACATCTTTGTATATTTGTATTTCTTTGTATACTTGTATGTTTTTGCATACATTTTTATTTCTGCAGTATCTTCATTTTGAGTTTTTTTTGCCAGTACCACACCAAGCCCACTGTTAGTCTGTTGCACTGGGCATTAGTTCAGAATATCGTAAACATTCCTGATACATTAGTTTCGTTCTTCTGTGCCGTCTCTCTTCAGGGGGTGGAGATTATCCGTGGGTGTCGTGGTCTGAACCTGGTCGGATGTGACTTAGTGGAAGTTTCCCCTCCGTACGACACAACAGGTAACTCTGTGTCTCATTCAATTACATGTACACAAATACACAAAGATACTATTTATAACACATCTTTTCAATTTGAACAGGGAACACCGCTTTAACTGGAGCCAATCTACTTTTCGAGATGTTGTGTGTCCTGCCAATGGTCAAATATTACTAATATCTACTGACAATCATTACAGTTGCAATCTTTTGTACGTTTGTAAATATGATACAAAACTCTGTGCTTTAGCGATCGATTTCATAGTGTTGCCAAAGAATTCTTATGAAAATACAAACGTGGACAAAATTGTTGGAACCCCTCTGGCAATGAAAGAAAAATCAACAATCGTCAATGAAATAACTTGAAACTGACAAAAGCAATAATAAATCAAAATTTACTGAAAATTGTCCAACGAAAATCAAACATTGTTTTTCACCTGTGGTTCAAAAGAATAATTGGCAAAAAACAAAATAATGAAATAAAACAGAATGAAAACAAACAAAAATGATGGTACCTTTAACTTAATATTTTGTTACACAACCGTTTGAGGCAAACTCTGCAAACAAACGATTTCTGTAACTGTCAATGACACTTCTGCACTGATCAGCTGGTATTTTGACCCACTTCTCATGAGCCAACTGTTGTAGTTGTCTCAGGTTTGAAGGGTTCCTTCTCCAGACGCATGTTTCTACTCCTTTCACAGATGTTCAGTAGGATTGAGATCTGGACTCACAGAAGAACACTCCAGAAGAGTCCAGTGTTTTGATCTTAGTCATTCTTGTGTGTTTTTCGCTGTGTGTTTTGGGTCATTATCCTGTTGGAAGAGACAAGACCTACAACTGAGACCGAGCTTTCTGACACTAGGCAACACATTTATTCCAAAATACCTTGATAGTTTTGAGATTTCATTGTACCTCTGACACCCTGAGCCAGATGCAGCAAAACAGCCCCAGAACAAAACCAGGCCTCCTCCATGTTTCACAGTAGGGACAGTGTTCTTTTCTTGGTGTGTTTCATTTTTGTGTCTGTGAACATAGAGCTGATGTGTCTTGCTATAGAGCTTCAGTTTTGTCTCATGTCTCTGTCCAAAGAACATTCTCCCAGAAGCTTTGTGGCTTGTCAATATGCATTGTGACAAATTCCAGTTTCAGTTTTTTATGATTTACTTTCCACAGTGGTGTCCTCACATGAAGTCCACTTTGGCTCAAAGAGTGATGGATGGTTTCAATTTGTCTAAGTTTAACATGTCCCAATTGTCTTTTTCTAGCGGTACCATCATTCTTGTCCAGACCAATTTCATTAGTTGTTGTTGTTGTTTTTTTTTATAATTCTGTTGAACGACAATTCAAAACAGTGTCTGATTTTCATTGGTTATTTTTTCAGTAATTTTTTGTTTATTATTGCTTTTCTTAGTTTTAAATGATTTCAGTGACCAGTGTTGATTTTTCTTTCATTACCAGAGGGGCACCAACAATTTTGAACACGTCTGTAGAATTGAAGCCATAAAAAACTTGAAATGCACTTTCAAATGTGACAAATAAATAAATCCAATGAGTTATTTCTATTATTGTTGTTTTCTTTATTCTCATCTCAATGATCAAAATACTAGATTAGGAGACATCTGATAGCCAAGTAGTACTTCTTATAAGCCTCTAGGCAGTATTCAAAGCTGCCATTTTGTGTTATATTCAGTGTTGGGGAGGAACAGATTACATGTACCGGAGTTATGTAATCAGATAAACAAATTATGAGTAACTGTATTCAGTTACAGTTACTGTTTCAGTGAGTGGTAATTGGATTACAGTTACTTGGTTGAAATAAATGGATTACACAGCCGTATTTTCCTGTTTTCACATTTTGGGGTATTCCTGGGGTATTTTTATTTTTATTTTTTTCAGTAATTCCACTCATTGCTGGACACTAAACCAGGTCTAAAACCAGGTCCAAACCAGTTCTTAACCAGTTCTAAACCAGGACTAAACCAGGACTAAACCAGGTCTAAACCAGGACTAAAACCAGGTCCAAACCAGGACTAAACCAGCTTTAAACCAGGTCTAAAACCAGGTCTAAACTAGGTCTAAACCAGGACTAAACCAGGACTAAAACAGGACTAAACCAGGACTAAACCAGGACTAAAACAGGACTAAACCAGGACTAAACCATGCCGTGCGGGCCGTGCCTCCTCCTCTTCTATCAATAATATTTTTAATACAGTTAAGTAAGACGCAGAAGATATGTGAAGATTTCCTCGTCTTTGCTTCTCTACAGCAAATCAAGTAATCCAAAGTATTCAGATTACATTACTCACTTTAAGTAATTTTATGGATTACATTACAAACTACATTTTGGGGTATGTAATCTGTAATCTGTAGGGGAATACATTTTAAAAGTAACTTTCCCAACACTGGTTATATTACAGATATTTTTCATCCATCCAATCAGTTTTTTGTGTTGTTGCAGTGAAGTTGGTCACACTTCAGACAATGCAGTTTGCACAATATATAAAGGAACTGGAGGAGAGGCCTTTGGCACAGAATCACAGCCACATTTCTGTCAGTCGACTAAAAACTTGAGCTCTCTCTTCTCTTCTTGGTTGCTTTTTGCATCAGTGAATTTGGACTTTGGTAAAGCGTTCAAGTTAATGACAAACCCAGCTCATACAGTGTTGAATGTTATGATGCAGAACACAGACTTTGGGATAGATGGGATATGAAGACTGAGCTACAGATCTTTACATTTCCCAATAGTATATACTGTATAGGGCCGCAAGATGTATTAACATCGCTTCAAAATCGCTATTTAATGGCCATAGTTAGTGAATTGTAAAAGCTGCCAATTTTGAAGTAGAATAATTTCCTCCACTAACAATAAAATATGCCGTTTTATTCTGTGTAAAACCACTAATCTCTGTCATTTAGACCTGTACCAACATGTTTCAAAATGTGATTTTTTTTTTGTCAGTTTGTCTTTTTTTTTTGTGTCAATTCTTCTGGACATGTTTAAATGTGCCATGTGCTACAGGCAGTGTTGGGAAGGTGACTTTTAAAATGTATTCCCCTACAGATTACAGATTACATACCCCAAAATGTAGTTTGTAACGGAATCCATTAAAGTGAGTAATGTAATCTGAATACTTTGGATTACTTGATATTGTCTTGCTTTTTAAAACGACATGAATGTACCAACCACATCCTGAAAATTCTTGTTTGTTCTCTTCAAACTGGCTGTTGAGCCCAAGTCTCCATGAACAGACTTTTGTTTACTGTAGAGTAGAAAAGACTAGAATCTTAACATAAGATCATAACATAAGATCTTTTGTCTGCTTAAAGACAATAAAAAGCCCTGTCTTTCCTTAACCGTATTAAAAATATTATTGATAGAAAAATGTCCACCCTACTGTTAGGTGTCATATCGTTTATAAAAATAATAATAATAATAACTTTCAGTACAGACATAAAGGCACTAGCCCAGTAAAAATCAGTAATACTTGATGTTTTTTACTCAAAATGATGCAGGATCAGTTTTTTAACAATGACGATTATTAACAACCGCGTCCACTGTGTGACTGACGCAACCAACGTTAATGAGACGTTTACTTGGCTCTTATTGCCGTGTTCTGTTTGGGTTTCTGGTGTGAGGTAGTATTTTGACCCCTGTAGTATATTGACCCCGGGGTCAACATACCGCTATAGTAAAGTGACCCCCCCATAGGATTTTAACTCCCCTTACTTTTTTCTTTAGTAGTTACTTATATGATCATTATTTCTCATGTCATTTATTTTTATTATATATTGCTACATTTTCACTTTCTTTTAAGGTATTTTAAGAAATGTTTTGATGGATAATGACTTAAATGTAACATATTGTTAAAACTGCATATACACAGCAATCTTGTCACTTTTTATATTGTATTTTACATTGTTATGGTTTTTAGTTTGCTATGTTCAGATGATCCTTAATTATAATGTCAGTTTAGGCAATGGTTTGTAAAGGACAATGACCTTGAATTGAGTCATGTTGTGTTATAATAAACATATTGGGGGGTCAGATTACTATAGTCATAGGTTTTTTACCTTTTTTATATATAATTGATCATTGTCAATGTTCAACTAACATGACTTCTTACTTTACATCATCATAACTATAATAAACATATTGGGGGGTCAGATTACTATAGTCATAGGTATCTTCTATTTAACTACTCAACTGATCATCCTGTCAGATTCCAAATCATTACACATCACTTTCATTAACTAACTCATTGATAATTACTTATCTCATTTTCAGTAAAATATGTGTTTAAACAAGTAAGTCATTTTTAACATTCAAAAGTTATAATCAACATAAAAAATGCATCTGAGTTCTTCAAAAAACACTTTTAAATATGTCAATATATTTGCAGATATCGTATTAATATTCAGTTTTTCTATAGAATTCAAGTTCTTTATTAATAAAATATAGAGTTTCATATGGGGGTCAATGTTCTATAGGGGGGTCAACATAACATAATAGGATTTTGACCCCGGGGTCAAAGTACTATACGGTATGTTGACCCCAGGGTCACCTCACCGTGGGGTCATAATCCTATACCACACTGGCAATGAGTGGAATTACTGAAATAAAATAATAATAATTTTAAAAAAAAGGGTTATAGCCCAAAATGAGAAAACAGGCAAATACCACCATGTAATCCATTTATTTCAACAAAGTAACTGTAATCCAATTACCACTCACTGAAACAGTAACTGTAACTGAATACAGTTACTCATAATTTGTATTCTGATTATGCAATGAAAGTACATGTAATCTGTGAAACACCGACTACAGGTCATCATATACCCATAGGACCAGGGGTGGACAATACAATAATATAATATAGCACATACTTTTATAGGATGTGGGTTTGTTTTGTGGATTTTGTGACGTGCAGTACCGTCAGATTCCACAAGAGAGCGACAAACGTCCATGTAAACCCCACCACTTCAACAACGCTTTGAGTTTTTTTCTTTCCAAATCTGTGCATTTTTAATTACTTTCAAAGAACAAAATTCATCAGTTAGTTTTTTGCAGATCACGACCCCCCTCTGCTGATAGTTAATTTGTGATTTCATAACAATTTTATATTCTTTCACTTTTTTATTCTTGGAAAAGTGAAAAATGCGTAGCTTAAGGGCATGAATATTTTGATTTAAAACTATGCACAATATCACCTGCCTAGGCTAGCCAATAATTCATCTATTCACCTCAAATCAACTTTAAAGATTAAAAAACATGTATAAAAAAAAGCCAAAAGTTACTGTTTAAAGATGCATTGTACAGCTTTCATGAGGAACTTCCTTTTTTACGTTTACTTTTCCTTTTCGGTCACAAGGAAAATTCGGCATAACATTTACTTTGCCTGTTCTTATAGAATAGAAATATTTACTTTTTGTGTTATATCTATGTATTTACGTTTTTTATTTATGTTCTATGTATTACTGTCTGAATAAACATTCATTCATTCATTCATCTTGTCTCCATGGAGATGTAATTGCTTTAACTGGAATGTTCCGCCGTATGGCATTGGACTAATCCATTCTATTTATTGCAAAGTTTACCTTGATAAGCGTGTATTCTTACAGCGAGCAGGTTGCTTCTCCGCAGATCTGACCTGTAACTCGGCTTGGCGGCGTCACGTGCGTGTACCCTTGGAGACAGAGAAGTTTTAATGCCATTCTGTGAACCATTCCATGCAAAGTGATCTCATTTTCATTTACACAATCACGTGGCGACCCCCCCTCCAGAACGAACATAGTGCAGCTTTAACGACGCTGCAATTTTGACTTGAATACGCGTTTTTGCTAGCTTCCTCGTTTAATATTTGTTCTAGAGTAAAAAGTTAAAAGTCTGCAGGGTCGTGGGTGGGGATGGGTCAAAGTTTTTAAACGAGGCAAAGTTTTACGACAGCGGGGGGGCACGGTGAGAATAGCCCGAACACTTGAAGCAGTCGCAGCGGGGTCTCGGGCTCTTTAGGTGGCGTCTGCTCCCTTCTCTTCGGGATTAGCTTCTTCCCTTTCAGTAGTAGAAGCACTCCCTGAATTCCACTCCGCCTTTTTGCCCACACTGCCCCGGCTCCAGTCACTCACCTACGGCACTGCATTCAACCAGCGCGCAAGTCCAAGTTACTTTGCGCTGCGCCACAAAGAACCCCCGACCACTATTTCCTCCGTTTCTGCTGCGTTATTCCCGCCTTTTTGCATTAAGGATCCGTATTTTTTTACCTGTTGATGTGGTCCTACCGGGTGCGGGACGGTAGAAAAGTCTGAAAGAGGCACCACTCCGGGCGGGCAGGAGCGGTGAAGGGACTCGGGACGTTTTCGCTTCCAATCCCCCGGCATTAACAGCGCGGTGCTGGGTTGCAGTTGGAAAAATGACCACTTCTCGGACCGCTTCGTTTTATGGACTAACCCTGTGCTTGCTCCTCTCATGCCACCTGGTTACGGTAAGGCTGCAAACTTTAGAAATCTATGCGTAAAAAAAAAACTATGTGCAACTGTTAGTTTAGCCTTTGCGCGCAGGTATGGTTAAAAGTATGATGCAGGTGACATGGATTTTAGACAATTTTACACTCAAACAACCCCACTAGGTCAATGTGCAAGGTATTTTAAAAGCAATATGACAAACTAGCCTCCTGTTGAGTGAAGTGGCTAAGTTTGTCCATAGGAACAAGCTATTCATAGTCCCCCAGGAGTCCTAAAACTTAGCTGGCTGCACACGGCATTGCTCGCCCCTTGCTATTACACGTGAATTCATATGACACAGACCCACATTTGTGCTTCAAATCGGTGTAATTCTTGCCATAGTTTGTACAAAAACCGATGGAAAAGCTACTCAGTCTTGAACTCATTAAGCGTGTGCATTGCATTGATTTTTAGCGTGCACAAAATGAAGCGTGCTTACAACTTTGGCGTTCAATAAGCTACAGACACTTTATGCAAGAACGTAAATAACTTCTCCACTGCTTGCAGGCGTTGTAAACTTTTGCTTGACGTTCATATTTAAAGGTGCACTGCGTAACGTTTTCCGGAGAAGCGTCATTCACGTGCTTGCCTCATGTTAATCCTCTGAAGCGTGGAATTAAACAAATCTATGTCGTGTTTTTATTTCTCAAAACTACCGCAAAGACGCTTCTTATTCTTACTTCTCCACAGATCTGACCTGTAACTTGCCGTGGTGATGTGCCACGCTTGTCTCCATGGAGATAGGAAACGTAAATCTAGAACTGTAGAACGTTCCAGGAAAAGAATGAAAAAATTAAAACACGAAATCAAGCAGGTGCTGGATCCTTTACTTCAGACATGTCAAACTCTGGCCCGGGGGCTAAATTTGGCCCGTGATATAATTATATTTGGCCCGCGAGCTCACATCAAATATGTATTAGAGCTGGCCCGACGGCTACAGAAATGATTAAAAATGTTGTTATTATTTTATATTTTGCTTCTTCTGGATTCAATGTTTAAGCAAAACTATTATTAAACATTTATTTTAATAAGAAATAGTTTAACATTACATATACCAACTGAGAGCATTCGCCCACTGATCTGAAGGTTGGTGGTTTGAATCCAGCTCTCGACATAAAACATCACAGGTTGACTGGTGTGATTCCAGCTCCCACAGATGAATGCTGTCGTTGTGTCCTTGGGCAAGACACTTAACCTACCTTGCCCACAGTGTCTGCGTACACTGGTGTGTGAATGTGTGTGTAAAGCACTTTGAGTGCCTTGAAGGTGGAAAAGCGCTATAGAAAACTGTGACCATTTACCATTTACCATATCTCGAAAGAAGAAAAATATGCAGATGTTGTCAAAATTTCTCAATAAATGTTTAGTTTGGCCCACGACTTGGTCCCAGTTTTTAATTTTGGCCCTCTGTGACTTTGAGTTTGACACTCCTGCTTTACTTAAACTAAAGTTACACAGTGCGCCTTTAAGCCAGAGTTTGTGCAGTGAAAATTGGAAAAGAATAGCACTTCCCATTTTAAAATTTCACGCTAATCTCGTCTGCGCTTTATCCCGCTGCCACTGGAACATTTGGTATTCATCATGGCGTGGTTCATCACTTAGCGTTTGCTTAACTTAAGCCTTATCTATGGAATGAATCATATGGAGGGTTTCTATTGCGTCTGCTGCTGCTGCTTCTGCTGCTCGCACTCAGGCCTGTTCACAGACTCAACAGCGAGCTTCATATCCGTTTTAGTCCTGGTTTACATTAGGGCTGTACTCCTTTAGTCGATTAAGCGGTGGACCAACATTTTTAGTCGATGAATCATTTTATGTAGATTATAAGGATTTATGTGGGACAGTACAAAGGAGAAGTGAGTGAGTCAGCTGAAGATTTGATATGTTCTGGTGTCAAAAGTTTTGGAACACCCTAATTTTTCCAGTTATTTATTGCAATTCAAGTCCAATGAAGAGTTTGAAATGGTACAAAGGTAAGAACTGAACAGCCAGAGGTTTAAAAAAAGAAAAAAAAAAATAATAATACAAAATACAAGTCCAAGCTCTGCCAAAACCACCTCAGGAAAAAAGAATGAGATGGTAAAGCTTGAAAACATCTCCAGAGTTAAACCCCATCGAGCTGGTTTGAGATGAACTGGACAGAAGAGTGAAGCAACCTACAAGCAGTGTTGGGAAGGTGACTTTTAAAATGTATTCCCCTACAGATTACAGATTACATACCCCAAAATGTAGTTTGTAATGGAATCCATTAAATTACTTAAAGTGAGTAACGTAATCTGAATACTTTGGATTACTTGATTTGCTGTAGAGAAGCAAAGACGAGGAAATCTTCACATAAGATGTTTCATCTGCTAAAAGAAAATAAAAAGCCGAGACTTTACTGAACCGTATTAAAAATATTATTGATAGAAGAGGAGGAGACATGGTCCGTGCAGCATGGTTTAGTCCTGTTAAATCCTGGTTTAGACCTGGTTTTGTCCTGGTTTAGTCCTGGTTTTAGACCTGGTTTTAGACCTGGTTTAGTCCTGGTTTAGACCTGGTTTTAGACCTATTTTAGTCCTGGTTTAGTGTCCGGCAATGAGTGGAATTTTCAAAAAAAAAAAAAAAAAGGGAATAGGCCAAAATGTCAAAACTGGAAAATACCGCCGTGTAATCCATTTATTTCAACCAAGTAACTGTAATCAATCACCACTCATTGAAACAGTAACTGTAACTGAATACAGTTACTCATAATTTGTACTCTGATTACGTAACTCCGGTACATGTAATCTGTTACTCCCCAACACTGCCTACAAGTGCCACACATTTATGGAACTTCTGCAACAGACTTGGAAAGAACTTTGTGAAGATTTCTATTGTTAAAAGAATGAGCCATGAGTGTGTTCAGCTGTTCTATCTGCCAAAGGTGGACACTTTTATGAATCAAAAGTTTAGAATACGTTTTGGCCAACAGTAAACACCAAAAAAAGGAAAAAGTGTGGTGACTTTTTGACTGGTACTGTATATAAAAAAAGGCAGATTCAACTCACGATTCACAAGTTGAACCTGTCTTTACTGTATATAAATTCATTACTTCCTTGTACGTTTTCTGTTTAAATAGTTGTGTACACAAATACTTCCTGTGCGGGTGTAGTCTCGTGAGTGCAGTTTGGGTCAGATACACAGAAAAGCGCAATAGTTTTAAGAGCTTTTTACCTCTTTTTAGTCAAGCAACTGATTGACAGGACATGTCTGGAGTCGTTTACAGCCCTAGTTTACGTTTTATATCGGCTACTAGGGATGTAACAATAACCAAAATATCACGGTATATCATCAAAAGTCTCACAATATATCGAATTACAAGTTTCTTTGCTTAAATTCATGGTTTTATAGTAGTAACTGCTTATAAACATTGGGAACTACATATCCCATGATTCATTTCAGTCCAAACAACATGAAGAAATGTGTTTTTTGCTTGAATTCTTGGGATTATGATGGAAATAATTCACATCAAAATCTTGTCAAGGATATTTTAAAAGCAAAAAGTCTCCCATCTACAATCTACAATTATATCAGTCTCTCCAAAATATCACAATAAATATCCTATCGTGAGATGCATATCGTGATAATATCGTACCGAGAGATTTGCATGTTGTTATGTCCCTTTTGGCTACTCAGTTTTCTCCAGGTCTTGGTTTAGTTCTTGTTCGGACAGTCCTAGATCAGTAGACCTGGTTTTGTCCATATATAGCTCTGGCACAGTTCTATTTATGCATTCTCTTTTCATTGCCTCTGGTTTAGCCATAGTTTAGACTTTGTTCAGCCTGTGTAGTTTCATTTTGGGTGTAGTAGTTAAACACTTCTGGTTTAGTCAGTTGTGAAGCTCTGGTCTTCTCCAAGTTAAGTCTTGGTTAAAGGTGCATTATGTAACCTTTTTAGTGGAGCGTCAGCCATGGAGATGTCATTGCTTTGCCTAGACCAGGAGTTAGGGCTGGGTATGATTAAGAAGTTGCTGATACGATACATATCTCGATGCATAGGCCACGATACAATACATATCTTGATACAGTGCACTTTTAATTCCATTCAATATATTTCTATATTCATTTATTTATTTGTTTGAGCCAGGTACAACAAAATTCAAAAAACAATAACAAAACAGGGATATGTACATGAACATATTTGGGACCTGGTGCTCAAAAGGAGGAGGATGAAGTTTAAAAAAACTTATAAAGTCCTGCCCCAATTGTTTTATATTATCATGTGGTTCACTTTTTATACATATATATATATATATATATATATATATATATATATATATATATATATATATATATATATATATATATATATATACACATCATAGATATCCAGTACATATACTCAGTATAAATGTTTATACACATATGCATAACACAATTTCATTTATAGTCATACATACTAATAATAATGTTATCGTAGGCACAAAGTTTATCATTTTGATCGTATAAAATAAACAGTCATGAGAATGAAAAATTTAAGGATTTTTTGTTTTCATTTATGGTTGTACAAACTAATAATAATAATGAAGAAGGCACAAAACAATTTCAGTTTCAGTTTCAAAACAATTCAATACAGCTCAATAAAAAATAAAGGCTAAATCATGGCTGTGATACTAAAAGTTTTGGGAAACCACTTCTTGTGCAAAGTTCATATGAAACACAAACATTTTAATCATCAAAACAGTGAAAATGTCAAATGTGTCGCATAAATGAGTTTCCTCCCTTTAAACAAACAAAACTGTCGCTCTGTAACAAAATCATTTTGTGAAACATACCAAAAAATACTTTTGGCGATATATCAATACAGCAGCCCATGATATCGATACTGTATCTTCACATTAAATAATACGATATGTAAATATTTTGATATTTTTGCTCACCCCTACCAGGAGTCTCCAACCTGTAGCTCTCCACCCTCTGCCAAGTAGCTCGCCAAGGAATTTCTGAATTAACTAATTAAACTA